CAGACTCCTCCTCCAGCCCTCGACTGCTGGTCACTGGACTGGGCCAGAGTGCACTGCGGCCTGGGTTCCACCCGACGTGCTGGCCAGCTCAGAGCTCCCAGCCATCGCAGCCCGGGGATGAACCACAGGGCGCACACAGGCGAGAGCCCCAGGCCCACGTCTTCCAGGTTCCTTCACACGCACCGTGCCAGCTCCACGCCACGCCCCCATCCCCTCAGCAGGGAGACCAAGACCGGGCTCACTGTGCGCAGGCTCAGGACACGGAGCCACCAAGAGGAAGGGGCCCTCACTGCAGCCGATTTGCAGGAGTGCTATTGGGGCAAAAGTGGCATTTAGTAAGTGGAAGGAAGCACACTGATGCTCTGTGATGTCATCATTTAGGCCAGGTGATGATGGATCGGAAATACAGCCATTCGTGCTCCACATGGTGGGTTTACCAAATCGTAGCCATTTAGTTATCCCAGAGAATTAACTAGTAGGGAAATGTGCTTAGTGGTGCAAAAAACCACACCAACATGTAGCCAGGAGCCAATTCCCAGCATAAACAACTTTCCATGCCTTTAATTTTAAGTATTTATGGGACTTAAATGCCAGCGATTAACTTAGCACACTTACTGCTCTTTTGCTGTTCTCTGGAAACCTAATTGGAATTATAAAAGCACCCTCCCTTTCCTCTGGTTGTGGTACAAAGCGTCTGAGGTACAAAGGCACCCACCTCCCACAAGCTCCCCTCACAGGTGAGTGAGGTCTTCCTGGCTGTCAGGAAGTCCCCCAGCACAGGGCCACCTGTCACTGAGACTGCAGAACTAAGCTCGCGGTGCCACGTGATACCGATGAGGAGGCGCAGCCACCCCAGTCCAGCATGCCGGGGGACAGCACTAGTGCAGGTGTGTCCATGGCTAGGTGACGACACGTTACCGGGGCTCCCAGAACAAGCGTGCAGCAGCAGTGAGGGCGACCCCATTACTAGGTAACACCACACTTTTACATTTTTCTAAAATGTAAATAAATTTATCATTTAAATGCCTAAAAACACTATGGGGTTGAAACAGCAACAAAGAAATAGAGGAAAGAGCCACCTCTTTCCACCAGTCAGACTGCTGTGTTCACCAACCCTTCCTTGCGGCTCCCTGAGAGAGCAGACGCACGGAGCAGGTGTGACATCGGAACGGCGCGGCGGTGCAGCACAGGTGCAGGGACAGACCTGCAGATGCAGCCCACAGAATGGAGGTGCACATGGCTGCTCACCGCGGGGACTGTGTGTCAGATCCTCCCTGCTGCCAATCTAGAAGCCAGAGACTCATGAAGAGAGGAGGAGGAGGAGGTCAGCCAGCCAGCGCACAAGCTTGCTGCGCTCACCTCGGGCTGTGTCTGCAGCGGTCAGCCCCTAACCTGTGCTCCTGCAGCACTGATGACAGCACCTGGCTGAAGAAGACCCGGGGAGGCTGAGCTCCCCGAGTTCTGGGGCCGAGTCGAGTGTGGGCACCAAGTGGAGGAGAAGGCAGTGCTCCGTGCCCAGCCAGAGAGACAGCGACCGGAGGTCACAGCTCCATCACACTGCGAGGGGCCATAGGAAAGCCGGCACCAAGACCCTTCATGCTCAGATTGCACAGGCAGGACCCAAGGGAGAAGGGCAGCCAGGCAGACGGATGGACCAACCAGGGCTGCGGTCTGAGCACCAGCACCAGCTTCCCATGTCCCCACCTAAACCCGCTCAGGAGCCCACAGGGCTCTCACACGGAGAGGGTGGCCTCGACCTTACTTCTGCCTGACCCGGAGGTGGTGCAGGGCAGGGGCAGCAGTGTCCAGAACATACACACACTAAGTGTGTGCTTCCAGTAGAGCCATACACACGGCCATCCACCAACAGCTGCACAGGCAATGTGGTCCCGTCCCCTGGGCCACCACAGCCATCTAACCGTGCTCTCACACGCGCATGTGCATGTGCGCGTGTGTGTGAGATAGTGCTGCTTCTTCCAGGCAGATGTGTACAGTACATGCATGCATGATCACGGAACACTGCTCAGCTAGTATTACGGCTTTACACGCTTAACCATCATTCTAAGAGTGGCTCCTACTTAGTAAAAAGAAAAGATGACTACAGAACAGCATGAAGCCACATTAAATAGTGTGGCCAAAACATACACTGCTCAAATTTTGAAGAGCATGCACTCCACTAAAAGACATTTTGCCACAAATCCCCCTCAAAACTCCCTTCTCTCGTCAAAGACACTCATTCCATGGCCTCCACCACTTTCTGAACCATTTCGAGGAGTCCTCTTTCCTGAGGGTCTTTAGTTGCACTGCTGTGGCTGCTCCAGGTCCTGAACTGATGCAAAACATTTCCCTTTCCTGGTTATTTTGACTTTGGGGCAGAGCCTGAGTCACCTGGTGCCGGGACAGAGTCACGTTTTCACAAGCTGCCTTACCACTGGATGGCGCTCCACAGCAGAGCTCGCCACATGACTTTTTCTTTTTGGTACCAGGGATCAAACGCAGGACCTGTACTCACGAGGCAGGCAGTGGAACCACTGGGCTACGTCCCGGCCCTCTCGCCGTATTTCTCATCACACGTCATGGAGAGACTCAGGAGAAGCCGGGACAGAAAATGGCAAGACTGGTGGGACGAGCGGGTTGGAAGTGAGGGAGGACTCTGAGGGCGACTCGTGGCAGTGTCTCTCCTGGTGCGATGATTTCATAATGTAAACACTCCTCACGGGTTTTGATCACCGTGAGCACTTCGTGACCACATCGCTTCCTCTTGTGTTTGATTTAAGCTCCTGCTGCTGCTGACCCAGCCCGGCCCTCGGAGCACCAGGCTGCAGTTATTTCTGTGTTCGGTGGTAGTAGATGGGCAGCACAGCAGGCGGGGCCGTGATCGGCTCAATCTGGGACAGCCAGCCTTCCATCTACAGTGTTCCAGCAGTGCACCTCTCAGAAGTCGGGCCAGCCTGGGGCCACTTCCGGCCAGCCACTCACTACGTCCACTGCTGCTCACGATAATCCCCCACAAGTGGGTGGAGGGGTCTCTCAGATCAGCAGCCTGCTGGGTAGCACGTGACCAGGCACACCTGGATACGGCGGGCTCACACACACGCGTGCACACACGAGTCACTGGCATCCCGTGTGGTCAGGTCGTGTCCTGCCGACGTGAGGCCTCGGGCTCATCACAGAAGAGAGGTGCCTCCCAGTGCCTGCTGTCTGAACACCCAAGCAGAGCATTTCCTGGGCACAGGTGTCCTCGTAGACGTGCGGTCTGGGGTCTGGGTGACATCAGGGATACAATCATCGGCAAAGGAGTTAACAGAGAAGCCGCTCACAGCTAAGACCCATGTGCTGAAGAGAAGGGCCAGGAGACCTGGGCATCGTGACTCAGCAGGCAGGTGGGAGAGGCTGCCCGGGAGGGAACTCGAGTGTCTTCCAGCTTCATACCATTCCTAACATTCAGCGCACTACTGAACATGCAGGAGCTTTCTTCACCGCTGGAGATCAAGCCCAAGGCCTCATCTACCACTGAGCCAAACCCAGAGCCCTGCACACCTGCCTTGCACGTTACTCTCCGCTGGACGTGACCTGAGACTCCTCCTGCACAAACCACAGGAGCCTCAGTGCTCAGCCCACTCCCCGCCCATCAATGTGTACAAGCAGAACTTCATTTTAGGGCTTTCTGACAAAATCAACAAAGTACATGTGATAAACAGATCAGCTAGAGACCGTGCTGGGCGGCCTATAAAGTACTATTGAATGGGCTCCTGACTAAACTGTGAGTCTGTCCTAGGCCTACGTGACTTGCTAGATGCGCCTCTGGCTGGCGTGTGGAGACAGAGCTCCCTGTGCCGATGACCACAGTTGTGGCCTCAATGGTGGGTGACGCTGTGGCAGCTCTGGGAAGATGCAGCACAGGCTTGATGACTCCTGTGCAGCCACTCTCCCAGAACAAATATTAGCTAAGAGAACAAGCGGGTCACTCACTAGTGGACCTGTCTTTTGTAGGAATGCGTTCTTCCTCCTGGTACAAGCCTGGCTCCTGTCTCTGTCTCAGCCCCTGCTGTCCCCTGCACCTGCCTTTATGAGATCAATAAACAGTGGCAAACCCGGAGCTTCATTGTCTCAGCCACCATCCAGCCCCCGTGTATGCAAACCTTTGTCTCCTTTCTTATCCTCAGGCCCTCAGTCAGGTGGTGGGGGTCACGCAGCCCCCAGCAGCGGTATAGGTGTGAAAGACGGACACAGGCACCTCAGGAAAGGCAGCCAGGGCTCCGTCCCGACGCACCCCTCACACACCCTGTGAGCGGGGCTCCACTGGGAGCATGAGAGCACAGGGGCTCAGCGGAGCCTGCGAAGGGACAGCGCTCATTTGCACAGTGCTCTTCACCAGCGCTTGCACTGGTCCAGCTGAGGGGTGCTGGGAACACCGGCCTGAGCCCACCTGGGCCCAGGAGTGGCCACTGGCTTCACTCTGCCCCGAGATCTGCAACAGCTGCTGTGCTCCCCAGATGCTGAGCACTCAACGGGGTGCACACAGCAGGAGCGCGAGAAACAGCAGGAGCCACACCAGGCTCCTGCAAGCAGCCAAGGGGCACCATTCAGCTCGGAGGCCCCAGTGCCACAGCCACCAAGGACACGGACTCCAGCTGCCCTGCCACGGGAGACCAGTGCGACAGCCCTGGAGCCAGGCAGCACCACGGGCTGTGGGGACAACTGCTGTGAGATGCCTGCAGCCCTGACGTCTCAGGGGCCAGCCTGAGGAGCCGGCCCCACTGCATTCCGTTCTGCAGAGTTGGGAGCAAAGCCGCTCCCTCCCGCTGCAGCCGCTCTGCACTCTCCGAGCTGCCTCCCTTGCTGCAGCCCCACTGCTTCCTTCTGAGCCCAGACACCAGGGCCAGTTCTCTGGCCCGCACCACCACAGACTGTTACAGTTGGTCTCCAGGACGCTGACACACCTTCACCTTCGCTATTTTACAACCTCAGGGCAAAACGCCAAAAAGAATTCCCCTTACCTTAATTTAAGGAGTGGCTGGGTCACCCACTTCTTCAGCATCCGTCTCCCAAATGCAGTTTTAGTGTGGTCTAACACCCACAGCAAACTTCCCTTGGTCTTCCCGTCAGTCTGTGAAGACCAGAAAACGGGTTTTTGTTTTATTTTTTAATTCATTAAGTTTATCGGTACCATTTAGGTACAGAATACGATGACATTCATCATTGGGAATTTGTACCTTTACATGATGTATCTTGGTTCTCATTTTTTCCCCATTCCCTGTCCTCCCTTCACCCCTTCTACTCCCATCTGCAAAGACTTTGTTTCCGTTTTTTCATTTCTCATATTTTTTCCTGTCCCTTCTTTCCCTTTCCCCACCTCCCCCACTTCCCCTTCCCCTTTGGACCTTTTCTTCCTTTTTCCCATTATCTGTTAGACATTTTGATCCCCATTTAAACTTTCAGCTTCTCACACCAGAGAAACTATTCAGTGTTCACACCTGTGTGTCCTATGCATTTCACTTAAGAGTGTGGACTCAAGGTGCACCTATCTGGCTATAAATGTCTCTAGTTTCTCACTGCTTATGGCTGAGTAGTACTTCATTTAATTTTTTAAAAACCACATTTTCTTATCCAGTTTCCAGTTGATGGGCATTTGGAAGATGCAGAAACAACTCCAGAAAACAGGTCTTACCACACTGGGCACGGGCACCCACACCATGCCTGAGGTCGGTCGGGAGCCCTACCTACTCCACTCAGCCGCAGTTCCCCATGCATGCCCTTGAAGTTTCATGAATGAAGACACAGACATTTACATACACATTCACACGGCACAGTAATGATATTTTTGCAAAGAAAAGGGCTAATCAGTGTTGTTTCTGGTTAAATGTGAATAAATGACTCAGAGCCTTCATGGAAAGAGAGGCCCAGACTCAGCTGCAAGACAAGGATAGGAGGCTGATTCTCAGCTTCTGTCTCCACAAGAGCTCAAGTCCCGATCAAGGGGACACTACAGGGTGTTTTGTGTACTGCAGGCTTTTGCCTTAGAAGTTGGATTTTACAAGCTGGGCGTGGTGGCACACACCTATAATCCCATCACTCGGGAGTCTGTGGCCAGCTGCAGCTAGACAGTAAATTCTGTAAATTCAAAGCCAACCTGAACTACATAGTGAGAGTGTCTCAAAAAAAGGGGGAAGTACTGGATTTCAAAACTGCATGCAGCAGGATTTAAATAGGAAGATGTGTCAAGGAAGGGGCAGGGGGTCATCTTCGACAAGGACTGTCCTATCCCAGCCACCATCCCCGGCGTAGGCCTGTGTGAACAGCTGACCAGAGACCTCTGGGTGATGAAAGGACAGGTACAAATGTTCCTGCACACACATGAGTCGGGCCGAGTGTGTGGGGTGGGCAGCAGGAGGAAGAGGTTCCTGGGGGATCCCCAGGAATGACATCCCAGGGCCAGGAGCGAAGAGCCTGTGGCTCCGGGGAGACTTGAGGCTTTCACTCCATGGCTGGGATTCTCCACTGCCACTCAGATGCCTTAGATCTCTTGTTCTATTTGGAACTGGCTTTTAGTCCCTGTGACTTTGTGACAACATAACACTTCGCCTTTCAGTGATAAGTCGGTGATGGAAACGTTTATCTTCCCAGCACTCAAGACAAAGCAAGAGAAAATTTGCCTAGTGAGACACCATACCCTACAAGCCCACCCAGACTTGTTTTACCTGCCTAGCAATGGAACAGACTACAGACATTTCAACACGAAGCAACCAGACAAAATTACACTTTCTATTCATTCTGGGAGATGATGATTTTCCAAGAAAATATTTGTCATGGAAATTAAGAGGGTGGATACAACCTTCATTTAGAGGGCACAGTCTGTATGTACCTCTCCTCTCAGGAGGCCGAGAGAAACCTCCTACACTGACCTCTGTACAGTAGGGGCCTGGTCACCACACAGCACACAGAGAGGCAGGTGGGACACGCTTGTCGCTGCCCTGCACCCTGGAAACTAACAGCGCCTTACTCCACCCTTTCTGTAGACAGCGTTGACTGACCGAGGCCTTGTCTGCCTCACCTGATTCTGTAGGATTTCCAGGTTCCTTAATGTTGTTCCGTTCATCCTCATTAGCTCCATTTCACTCGACAGCTGTTTAAAATTCCTGTAGAGGATGGGATACAGTGAGGCGGCCTGCAGTGTACAAGACACAAGACACTAACTCGGGGACTGAGAACAAGGCAGTAACACTGTGACAGGAAATCGGGCCATGAGAAGCAAGCTGAGCGTCCCCTGGGCTTCACGCCCCGGGATGCCGGTGCTCGTAGGATGGCACAGGCACAGGACACCGAAGACAAGAACACGGAGGGAAGCAACGGCAGTGTTTTGTTTTTGTTTTACATCTCCAGGAATAGAACCAAACATAGTCTTTAACCCCAGGCAGAGCATGTGGTGGTTCCTTCAGGAAAAGCTATGCAATTAGCTAGAAAAATATGTCAAGACTCTTAAAACTGTCCTCCTTGTTCTGCAGTGTGGGATCAGCACAATAAACACTTCAGAAGCTTCTGGTACATGCAGCCTGTGCTACTTGCTCTATAATTAACAACACCCATTGAGGTGGCCAAGGTTTCGTGAGTACAAATAAAAGTAGCAAAAGTTATTTCCTTAAACCCAGCAAAGAATTCACATGCTCCTATGTCCTGTCACTATCAAAAGACTAAAGATACAGTAAATTTCAAACAGACCTGACACTTGAGATGCAGCATGACTGACAAACGCATGCATATCTCCAATTTGTGTCAATAACCATTATCAGTGTGTTGCTGGTGCAGCAATTCCTTTTTTTTTTTTTTTTTTTTTT